GACCTTGACAATTTATTAATCGAATAAATCGTTAAGGATCTTCATAAGGCAGCAATTACATTTCTGTAATTATCCTCGCGGAAAATTCAACATAAGTGGTTTGAATGAGACTTGGCAAGCACACCTTGTGAAAATGCAGCCCTACGCTCATTATAACAAAGGGTATTGGTAGATGCTTTTGTAATAAGTGTTTTCTCTGATTACGCATGGACTTGGTGAAGAAGTAACAACAGCAATTAGTTTAATATTTAAAAAAGGACGTTTACCCAAAAACATGCAAACTGATCGTGGAAAATAGTTCTGTAATGCAAACTTCTTAAATTTCATGCAGAAGTTTTGAAAAATGTAAACTTAACTTACAGAAATCACAAGACGTCTATATGTAAGTAATTCAATCGTACCTTAAAATACTTGATTCGGAAGAAATTTAGTTTGCCGGGCAGTTATAAATGGCTGATTTTGGTATAAACGTTAAATAAATTTTATAATAATAGAAACCATCAAACGATTAGTTTCAAATTAAAGGATTTTGCTGCAGAAAATAAAGTTCAAGTCTGTTCACTTATAAGTAAATATTTGTACGGGACTTACTGCTCAGTGCACGAACTGTATTACATTATACAAGAGACTGGCTGGTAAACGTGGAAGAGGCTCGCGCACACAAGTAAGGTAGTGTAAACTGCTACGTCTGAGCTTATATTGGTGTGCTCGACTCCCGCCCCTATTAATTCCCAATCTTCGGGGCTCTCTGGCGATCGCTCCGCTGAGTTCGCGCCGGGTTAAGAGTGGGCTTTCGTGGGCTCTCGAAGAAGATTGAAAAGCTCCCGCGTGGCAGCCAGGCTCTTGTAGTTCAGTTGAAAAGTTGGCCATCGAACACAGAACGAACAAAACTAGATCTTTTCACGCAGACGGCAGTTTGTCAACAGTTTCCGTTCCCCGCTGGATTAAGGAAGCTTGTTAATCAAACTCGTCATCGAGCAGTGAATCCTCTCTCCCACTAGAGTGAATTCAGTAAGATCTTTCTATTGTCCTCTTTGTTTGAGGTAGTATTTTGTTGTTTGTTATTAAAAGCTTAAACTCCTCGAACAATGCTTTCAATCGTTGTATCGTGGCAGTTAGCTGTTTGTTAATTTCATTCGCATACGCGTCTCAAATTTCCTCGAGACATTCTCTTGGTGATTGTACGTTATATTTTGACTAATAAACAATTTTGGTTCGTTTAAAATATTGTCGTTGACATTTTGTTTCAATCTCCTTTGCTTGAAAAAAAAACCAAAGGTAAATTATAATTTTCGAAGGAGAAACATTTCCTGATGCGAGTAGAAGATCCTCAAAGGATAAACAAAAAGACAAAAAAAAACTGGTGATTTTGATTAGTGACTTCGAAAATTAGAGCCACGAGAAAAAGCCAGAGCAACTTATCAAATATTTTCAAAGTCATAAGAAATTTAAAAAAAATGTGTGAAAATGGTTGTCAATCTTAGCTTTCATTCAAAATTAGTGATGGAGTTCGATAAAGCAAAACCAAACAGCATTTCGAAAAGGGTACACACTTAATTAGTCGACAGCAATATATACTATTGCACGAGTAGCAGCATTAAATCCAATAACGTATAACCTTAAATGGTTGCACATCAAGGCAATCAAGATTTGGTCAAATGGTTGGGCTTCGAGAGTTGGCCAATAAGGATCTTCTTTTAAATTACTTTAAGTTTAAAAAGTATGAGACCTTAATTAATTTTATAATAAATCTGTTACATGTATCAAATATTCATAAAAATATTACATAGAAAGTGTGACGTTGCATTTTCCACCCCTCATCAACGTTTTCACGTCGACGCGAGGCCGTCCCAATACAACGCAGTAAAAACACCTTCAAACACCTACGATTTCTAAAACGACAAACTTCTGCAAACTAAATAACAGCTTGAATAAATAGAAATTTTTTTTTGTAACTTAAACATAAAACATTGAAATCAATCTACTTATTTTTCAAGCGATTTCATACCTTAAATTAAGTAAATATGATTTGCTGCATCTTAAGGCTGTTTCAGTGTTTTAACATTTTACAGTCTTTCGTTATCCAAGTCATACTGCTTATGTGTGGTGAGTTTGTATCTAAAACCAGGAAGACCTTGGCTACTGCCTTTGATTTTACTTAGTTTTGATCCAACACATTGACACTCGTTTATGATACTAAAGGAAAAGTTGCTCACAAAAATAGATATATCCTTCACCACGAGGCTCTTTAATGATGAATAAAACTTTATTGTCATGACTTGTATGTCCTGCTAAATTTTCAGCTGTTAATGAGCGTAAACCATCTATAAACACGTTAGGTTCATTCTATATGACATAAAATGCTTGATGTCATTTGTGTGCGTGTATGTGTGTCAAAAGTGTTTTCAGCCGAGTGCTCCACGCATGTGCTCTGAGTGAAAAGCGCATGCGCCGCGCTAGAAAGAGACGGTAAGACTGAGCTCCGTGCTCTCCCCGGCTTAACATCGCCCCGCCAAGTCAGTCTGCAACTGCTCTGCATCACAAAAGGGAGTAAGAGCTAGTCACGCTGCACTGCGTCTCTTCTCCTTCCTATATAAGAAAGTCAATGTACGCGAGTGTTAAGTTCCGAACGAAAATTAAAGCTGAGTCAATAAAAGGAAGTCGCCTTTTTATTAACCCGCGTACACTACAATTCCCAAAGGTTCTCGTCATCTCTTGTTCGTCCTACCGATCCAGCGCAACAACAGTGCAGGAGCACTGGTCGTCGTCGCCGCGCCTGCCCTATACACGGAGCTGCAGGCCGTCGCCACACGCCAAGCTACCCGCTTGCCCTTGGCCACACATCGTCGGCGACGAAGCGCGCCGAGCCTTGCGAGCCTCCAGCTCGCTAATGACCATCATCGTTCGCGCCTCCGGCGCACACGTGCTCGCAGCCGCACCCGCCGCTGCTGCTGTGCTCTCCTGCGTGCTCCCGTACGCGGTGCTGTGGTCATCGTCGCCGCGCCCGCCCTATGCATGGAGCTGCAGGCCGTTGCCACACGCCGAGGTTGCCAAGCTACCCGCTCGCCCTTGGCCACACATCGTTGGCTGCCAAAGCGCGCCGAGCCTTGCGAGCCTCAAGCTGGCTAACGGCCATCATCGTTTGCGCTTGCGGCGCACGTGTAATCGTCACAGCCGCGGCTGCCGCGGTTACCTTTGTTTGATTACAGGTGGCCAGCCTGCCTGAGAGCGTCGTCGTTTCGCGACGTGTCATATCAGCGTTGTTGCTGCTACGCCGCTGTGCGCGCACGTCATTTTGAAGAGCTGCCACTGCTGCTTGCTCCTGCTTCTTTGCAGGCTACGGATCAGCTACATGGGCCGACGCTACGCACCACTACTTGCTGCCGACGTCGCTCACTACTGCTTGCTGTTGACACGGGCCGTACGCATGCTGATCGCTGCTGCCGCGAGCTTTCCGAGCTCCGTGCTTCTACTCAACGAGCTTCACTAAACAGCTGATCGTCAATCAGGTTCATTTACATAATTGCGTTTGTGTTAGCGTTCTTAAAATTTTATCCACTATTAAGTACTATTAAATTCTTCGCTATTGTTAATCGAATTAGATTTAACCGGCTCTAACACTTGCGGTCTGATTATTATTCGCGAGTTACATGCTAGGATTGTTTTAGTGGTACTGTATTGTCGGTATTGATTGTAACGAGAAGCGCTGTCACGTGGAGCACTAATTTGCGTTTGTTCGCAGCACCCGTGTTTGTTCGTGCTTCCTGATTCAATCTCGGAAACGCTGTTTTTACTCAATTTTCTTTGAAATGGCTGATTTGGAAACTTTTTACGCACAGCAGCTAGCGCTCTACACCAAAATAAGAAATGCCTTCGCTAATTTCCGAAAGTTAGGAGAAGCGAAAATGACTCGGGGTCAATGCAAGACTCGGAGTAAGGTGGTTAAGGATTCGTACGATCAAATGTTAATGATTCATGATCAAATTTTAAATCTTGATAAGGACCCTAGTAGACATGAATACATTAAGAAAAACTTGATTGATTTATTTAAAGAGACCTATTGCTCAGTCGCAGGTGACTTCAAGGATTATGCGTCTAAGTTCGACCCTCCGACCTCGCCGACCGCGATCCCCAGCTCAGCTTCCACCTTAGGTTTACATAGTCTGTCTCCGTTACCCTTTATAAACATTCCTACGTTTTCAGGAAATTTTGAGGCATGGGAAAGCTTTCGCGACGTTTTTAAGGCTTTAGTTCACTAAAAAAACCAAGCTCCCTACTAATATTAAGTACCAGCACCTGCAAACCCATGTGACCGGAAAAGCAGCCGACCTGATAAAAATATTCCCCTCTCGGGTGAAAACTACGCACAGGCCTGGGACGCTCTTGTCAGGTATTATGACAATAAGCGGCGCTTGGTTACTACATACACGTGTACGATTTTTAGTTGCTCAAATATGAAATCCAACTCCTGTGCGGAAATGAAGCGCTTAGCTAAGGAGATGTTAGGTCCCCTAGATTCTCTCGTTACTTTGGGTAGGGAAAACGAAAGTGAAGACGTTCTCATCGCTCTCATCGTTAGTAGGTTTAATAACTTTGCCAATAGAGATTGGCAAAAGCATTTAGGTAGTAGTGATGAACCTCCGACTCTCGATCGTTTGCGTGAGTTCATCGCTGCACAAATTATTACATTAGAGACGTAAGAGTCGACTAAACGACAGCCTAACCCAGGCCAACAACCTGACTCTTTGAAATCCAAACAGAAATCTTCGTTTGTTTATCAGAGCACTGCATCTCCTGATGAGTCAGGATCTCCTAGCTGCTTTCTTTGTGGTAAGTCCCATCGCTTGCACTCTTGTCAGTCTTTTGGTAATAAATCGCTCGATGAAAGGTGGCAGATCATTAACGATAGACAACTTTGTCTCAACTGTCTTGGGCAACATTTTGTTAGGCAGTGCAAAAGTAAGTTCTTCTGTTTAGTTTGCCACCGGAAGCACCACACCATGTTGCACAAGGAAGAGGTTAAGTCTACTCCCGCGAAAGGTCCGAACTTGTCAGGTAAATCTACAGATAGTAAAGAGGGAGATTATGACAAGCATCAAGGGTCTCAGTCCGACCAAAGCTTTTGCGCTACCGCTAGCTTGTCCCTTATCCCTAGATTCCCCTCGGTACCCAAATTTCTGTTAGCTACCGCTCGAATTTATGTTCGTGGTCCCCATGGTCAGCAAGTTTTAGTGAGATCCTTGGTTGATCAGGGCTCTCAAAGTTCCTTGATAACTCACTCGCTTTGCGATACGTTGAGTCTCAAAACTCACCCAGCTAGTATTTCGTTGACTGGTGTAGGTGATTCTTCTACGACCTCTGTTCGGAAGAGAACCTATATAACTTTCCAACCTCACTTCGAATTGAGTTTTAAGTGTGATACCGAGGTCCTAGTAGTTCCGAAAATTTCTTCTTATAAGCCTCCAATTTCAAGGAGCTTACTAACACTACCTCACATTCAAGGACTCCAACTTGCAGATCCTGACCTATACGCTCTAGATAAAATAGACGTTCTACTCGGAGCCTCGGTCCATGCTCATGTTATTCAAAACTCGATTCGATGGGGCCCTGCAAATCAACCTAATGCCTCCGCATCCAGCATTGGATGGTTACTGTCCGGACCTGTGCCCCATCCACCGGAAAATGTCCCTTCTGCGAAGCAAGAAAATCACATGATCACTGCCCAACCCGAAGAGGTTACCGTAATGCACATCTCTAAAGACCTTGATCTAATTGAAATAGTGCAACGATTTTGGTTAGTCGAAGAACCCCTCTTCATACCAGAGCTCAAGGAAGAGGATCTTCATTGCGAGGAACATTTTGTTCACACGCACTCGCGATCCTCGGACGGTCGATTTGTGGTCAGACTTCCGTTTAAAGGTCAAGTTGCCGACGCTTTTTCCCTTCGGGAAAGCTCTTATAACACGGCGCTCTCTATGTTTCGCCAACAAGAAAAAAGGTTTAGGAATAACCCTCACCTGTTCGAGTCATACAAGACCTTTATGGCTGAGTACCTGGCTCTTGGTCACATGCGCGAAGTATCGAATTCGAGCCTAGCGAAGTGTTTTCTTCCTCATCATGGAGTTTTGAAGACCAATACGCCAACTCCTAAGCTGCGAGTTGTCTTTAATGGCTCTGCTAGAAACAGAGGTGGTCTGTCTTTGAACTCCTTACTCCACACAGGTCCAAATCTCCTGTTAACTCTTTTCGAGCTGATTCTCAGGTGGAGAACACTCCTCCTGGCAAGTGGCCTCTCGGGAGAGTCGAAGATGCTTTTGAAGACCCAAAGGCGCTGGTGCGAGTCGTAAAGGTTAAAGTACTATCTTAACCAGACCAATTCATAGGTTAATTTTGCTACGTACCGTTTCCGAGATCGAATCAACGGGCACACGTTAAGTAATTGAGTAATTATTTGAGAGATGGTATAACTATTTTTGCGGTCCAACCTCACTACCTCTCTTATTGTATTGTTTATAAATATAATAACACTTAGATTTAATTAAAAAAAAAAAAAAAAATCGCACATTTTTTCGGTTTAAAATTTATAATTTTCCCTTTTGCTTCTTTTCTGGTAACACTCATTGTACCAATTTAAATTGAGAAGAAATACTTTTATACAAAATTGTACCAATAATTTGATTTATTGTAAGTGGGAAGTGCTCCACAGTTATCTTTTCTATTGTTTGCCATTGTATTGATTGATATTGTCTCAGAGCTAGTTTTTATACCTGTTGAAGGACCTAATTTTCATTTGTTTCTTAATGTTTATTCAATTTACTTTCTGTACATCAACTCGGGGAGTATGTATAACATCAAATGCTTGATGTCATTTGTGTGCGTGTATGTGTGTCAAAAGTGTTTTCAGCTAAGTGCTCCACGCGTGTGCTCTGAGTGAAAAGCGCATGCGCCACGCTAGAAAGAGACGGTAAGACTAAGCTCCGTGCTCTCCCCGGCTTAACATCGCCCCGCCGAGTCAGTCTGCAACTGCTCTGCATCACAAAAGGGAGTAAGAGCTAGTCACGCTGAACTGCGTCTCTTCTCCTTCCTATGTAAGAAAGTCAATGTACGCGAGTGTTAAGTTCTGAACGAAAATTAAAGCTGAGTCAATAAAAGGAAGTCACCTTTTTATTAACCCGCGTACACTACCATTCCCAAAGGTTCTCGTCATCTCTTGTTCGTCCTTCCGATCCGGCGCAACAACAATGCAGAAGCACTGCCTCCCGGGCCCAATCCTGTACACATTCTAATGTATATAAACTACTGTTTGAAGTATTAAAAGAGTTTTATAATAAGAAAGCAACGAGCCATATATTTTTCTAAACACAATGTCGTTCATTGCAGCAATAATTTTATCAAACTTATTAGTTGTTCACTTAAGAGTGAATATTGTGAGAGGTGGCTGTCAGGATCAGTGTAGTTAACGCGTTCTAATGTAGGCGCGAGGAGATGGGAGCCTGGAGTAGTGGGAGCACACACACTTGGTCGTTGACTCGAGTAATTAGTACAATACCCGCAGGTGTGGGTGCTTCCTCTTCCTCTCCGGCCTCGAGCGCCGAATATCTTTGCTGGCGAGCTCGCGTATTCGGCTGAGCTCCTTCTACTAGCACGCGGACCTTTCAAGTATCAAGTCGCTCCCGCGTAGTCGAGCTTGATATTTAAAGTCGCTGCAGCTTTTCTATGGGTAAACTCGCAACCATTGTGACAGGATCAGGGCAGCCTTCTCATCGTCGCTAACTAGTCGCCTAAGGTATAGCGCACGTCTTCTCTGAGTAGAGGTGATTTGTTAACTAATTAAAAGGTTAACAGGATCAGCCTGATTCTTGGAGGCCAGCTCGTTCGACTAGCTTCAACGTCGTCTCGAGCTGAGCCCCTTTAAAGTCTTTCTTGCTTATGATTAAGTCCAAGGTCTTCTCGAACGACTTGCTACATCGTCGTCTCGAGCTTCGTCCTTTATACCACGTACTGAGATTCGTGTTTCCTCGTAGCGAACTCTTGGTCAACTTACATTTTGTATATTACTTTGTTAAATACAAATTATCATTACTTAATAGTCGATTTTTGGTTGTTAATCTCTTGCCAATCCCATATGAAGAAAGAAAGGAGATTTCTCGGAACTGGAGCATTATTATCCAGGGAGAAAGTTTAAATGCGCATTTAAATTTTCGAGCATTAAAAAACATTTCTGCTCATTTCGTGACCTTCGTATCTTCAGGTCACGAAAGCAGAAAAGGTTTAAAAGTCAAAAAATAAACATGGTAGCAGAGCGTGGTTGCCCGGCTTCCGAGAAACAAATTCCTCGTTAAAATTTCCTTTAAGGTCAAGTGACGTCACTTCACAACATCGACTTATTTTGAAAATCGTCTCTAAGAGAGGAACAAGACGACTAGCAGGAGGAGAGCGACGAGCGCTATCGGCGTTTCTTCTTTGTGCGGATGTTCGCAGCGCAATTGAGTACCTTCCACTTCCACACCGATTTCATCGCCCCGCTCGGCTCTACTCTCGTTGGCCTACCAGTTCATCGGCGCTTTGGATGAGGTAGAGCACCGGGGAAGGGTGCGGCAACAGAGACGGTAAGAGCAGTCGTCGCTGTTATTGTTTTTCGTTGCTCATACAGCAGCTGTATTTCAAGCTGTTTGTGTTTTATCTTATTTTTGTTTGCTATTAAGTAGCGTAACTTTGCATTAGTTGTCTTCGTTATTGATTACTCCACACACCATGAAAGAATTGTTCAAAGCACAATTGAAGCTGCAAAGCTACATTTGCAATTTTTATACTAATACCGTTGAAAAGGCCACATTAGAAAGTCGGACTGTTAGTTATTATAAAGCTCGACTAGAGTTGATAGCTAGTTACTGGGCCAAATACACTGCAAATCACGATAAGTTGATCATTGAGGAAGATGCTAACGCGGAACTTGCCTACTTCAAAGACGATTTTTATACGACTTGCGAAGCTGAATTTGCAATCGCAATGGGTCGGATACGCGATAAGATTACCGAACTCCAACCTCCCGCGCCGAGTCAAGATTTGCCAGCACCGACTTCAATAGTGCAGAATATCACTAATTCTGCGCCTCACGTTGCACTTCCTCCTATTGCATTGCCCACGTTTTCCGGTAAGCAGGGTGAATGGGAAAGCTTTAAGCAGCGATTTTGTTCTCTTGTAAAAGACAAATCAAATATCTCCCGAGTAGAAAAATTGCAGCATTTATTAAATGCAGTACATGGTCAAGCTGCACATCGTCTCAAAGGTCTTGACGTTATCGACGCGAATTTTGATGTTGCTTGGGAAAAACTTGTGCGCCGTTATGACAACCCACGTATCCGACTCTTTTCAACACTCGAAAGCTTGCTTCAGTTATCTTCAAACAAAGCTCGCAGCGCACAAGACCTTAATGAGTTAATCGATACTACCGAAGAATCTGTTCGAGCTCTTCGCGACTTAAACTGCCCAGTCGAACATTACGACAATTGGATTGTTCACTGTGTTGTCCGTAAGCTCGATGCTGGCTCTCGCGAAGCTTGGGAAGCGTCCCAGTCGAACGTGGACGGTTTTTCAACATTTAAGGCGTTAATCAATTTTTTGGAGAAGCGTATTCAAACGCTAGAACAAGCGCATTCTTATGTAGACAAATGTGAGTCTTCAAGCAAGCAATCAAGTAACTCGACACCTCGCAAATCGAATAAAGTTACCGTGAATAACGCGCAAACGGTGGATCAATCTGAACCTAAATCGAGTCCCTTGTGTGACTTATGCAAAGGTCCTCATTGGTTACATCGTTGTAGCCATTTTAATGCAAAGTCGCAGTCTCAGCGTTTGGATTTTTGTAAGGGTTCGAAGCTTTGTCTCAATTGTTTAAGAAAAGGACATAAGGCCTCTAAATGTCCGTCATCTAACCGTTGTTTCAAATGTCAACTCGCGCATCATACGAAATTGCACTCAGAAGACAATTCACAGAACAAAGGCTCAGGCTATCGGATAGGTAATTCGTTCGCTGATAACGGGTCCCAGCCTACCGGTACCTCTGCAAACTCTGACGAATCGTACAGTCATGTCGCATCACACAGTGCGTCGGTTGGAGCCTCAGTGCTTCTTGCTACGGCTAAAATCTTGATATCAAACGCGTTAGGTAAGAAGCTGACTGTTCGGGCCCTGATCGATCCTTGTGCCGAACGATGCTTTATATCGCAACGGGTAGTGCAACAGCTTAAGCTTGATTCGGAAAAGACTTCAATCTCGGTGATAGGCGTCGGTTCCGAAAAGACATCAACTTGCAAGACCATAGCTCACGGTATTTTACAATCAAGTACCGACAAAAGCTTCGCTATGGGTTTTTCCGCGCTTGTGCTAAATGAACTAACTCGTTGTCTGCCCAAAGACAGGGTCGTGTCAGGGAATTGGCCCCATCTTCGTGGTTTAATTCTAGCAGACCCTCAATTTTCGGAACCCGCGAAGGTTGATTGCATACTTGGTGCAGACATATACCCTATCCTTATGCTTGAAGGCATGCGTAGAGGACCAATGGGTACTCCGTGTGCTCAGCAGTCTGTCTTCGGCTGGCTGCTTACCGGAGCCATTTCACCCATCAACACTTACAACCAAAAGCCAGTTCGTGTATTTCATTTAACGACTGAGCCCTCGCTTTCACAGCAACTCACGCAGTTCTGGGAGATCGAAGAAATTCCGCGCAAGGCACTTTTGACTCCTGACGAACAGCGTTGTGAACAACACTTTGTCGACACACATTATCGCGAACAGAACGGACGCTTTGTAGTCCGATTGCCTTTCGCAAAGCAACCCAAGTTTTCCGGTTCACGAGATGTCGCGGCTGCATGTTTGCGTAGATCTGAGAAGCGATTGCAGCGTGATATGCAACTCGCCGAGCGTTATCAAGCCTTCATGCTTGAATACCTGGAGTTAAATCACATGGAGCCCGTTCCTTCTCATCAGGTGCTCAATCCTGGATTTTATTTGCCTCACCATGCGGTGGTGAGACCTGAAAACCCTGCGAAAATACGCGTAGTCTTCAACGCATCGCAGAAATCGCAAAATGGTCTATCACTAAATGATATGCTTTTGTCAGGACCTAAGCTTCAAGCAGACATCTCAATAGTTTTATCTCTTTGGCGTCGATTTAGATTCGCCTTTACTACTGATGTTATTAAGATGTTTCGCCAGATAAAGGTTCATCAGGATGACGCTGACTGGCAACGAATACTTTGGCGAGACAACACTAGCAAGCCAATTCAGGATTACAGATGCATCACGGTGACGTACGGTACTTCGTCTGCTCCCTTTCTGGCTCTTCGGGTTATGAAGCAAATTGCAACTGACGGTTCACTGGACTATCCGGAAGGTGCTTCAATTCTTCGTCATACACTTTACGTTGACGACCTCTTCGGCGGAGCGGACACTATCAATGAAGCCGTACGCCGCCGCGAGCAACTGATCAATCTTCTGGGATCAGCAGGCATGGTCCTGGATAAGTGGGCAGCAAATTCCTTGGATCTGCTAGCAGGTTTGAATTCATCTTCTGCAACTGAAGTTGAATTGAATCAAAACGAGGTAAAATCTACCCTTGGTATTAAATGGCTTCCAAAGGACGATGTTTTTTCGTTCACAGCAACAGTAACTCAAGCGACTTGCGTTACCAAAAGGTCGATATTGTCTGAAGTCGCTCGATTATTTGATCCTCTAGGTTGGTTGGCGCCCATGATTATCGTGGCCAAAGTAATCATGCAAGATCTTTGGCTGGACCACATCGACTGGGATACGCCTGTTCCTGATCAACTTCATTCCCGCTGGTTTGAATTCCAAGCTGGACTCGCAGAAATACCGAGGATCCGGATTCCACGATGGCTTAACACCCTGGAAAGTGATGACTGGCAACTGCACGGATTTGCCGACGCTTCGCAGAGAGCGTATGCAGCTGCTCTATACGTAGTCATTCCAGGACGCCAACCCATGCTGCTCACGGCAAAAACAAAGGTCGCCCCCACAAAGGTCCAATCATTGCCACGGCTCGAATTGTGTGGGGCCACATTACTAGCTCGGTTGATTTCACACACTTTGGACGCAAGTCAACAACCACCAGCATCAATTCACTGTTGGTCGGATTCACGAGTCGTGTTGGAATGGTTGAAAGGACACCCATCCAAGTGGCAAACATTCATTGCCAATCGTACTAGCGAGATAATTACAAGCTTACCAACAGCGACTTGGAGACACGTCAGATCTGCAGACAACGCTGCTGATTGCGCTTCAAGAGGTGTCTCAACGGCTGATCTTGCTGAGCACAAGCTTTGGTGGCATGGACCTGATTGGCTGTCCATGCCTGAATCTACTTGGCCAACCAACATGCCACTTAGTGCTCAGACAGTTGAGGATGCGCATGCCCTCGCTGCATTAGAAGAAAGCACCGACGAAGGCGTCCCTACAGGCCCTGGATGCAACTGCTTATCAACGCTGCAGAAGTTTTCACGATTCAGTAAGATCCTGCGCATTTTAGCTTACTGCAGCTCGTGGCGTCTGAAAGCCCTTAATAAAAGTCAGTCCCACAAAAGGCTGAGTTATCAAGACTGGACTCTAGCTCGAATCTTTTGCTACCGTGCAGTTCAAAATCAACATTACAAGCAGGAGCTTAAGCAACTACAGGCCGGCGAGCAGCTCTCCAAGCGGAGCCCACTTGCTCGACTCAATCCATTCATCTGTGCTCACGGATTAATTCGAATTGGAGGTCGGTTACAACATTCACCGATTTCTTACAACGAGATGCACCCAATCGTGCTGCCCGGAGGATGCATCATTGTTAAGAGGCTCGTCGAGGAAGTGCATCACATCACATTGCACGGAGGGGTGCAATTGATGCTATCTCACATATATAGATCTCTTTGGATCACACGCGGACACGCAGTAGCTACAGGAGTCTTTAGACGATGCATACAATGCACACGCTATAGTCGGCGAAGTCCAAAACAGCTGATGGGTTCTCTGCCAGCCCAGAGAACTACTCCAACACGAGCCTTTACCGTCACTGGACTGGACTACGCAGGCCCTTTTCCAGTGCTTTTTTCCCGAGGCATGGCGCTTAGTCAACTAAAGACTATATAGTCATATTTATTTGTTTTTTCACAAAAGCGATTCATATTAAAGTAGCCTCTAATCTGTCAACGAGTTGTTTTATTGCAGCGTTCGATCGATTTTGTTCACGTCGAGGAGTTTGTCAAAAACTGTATTTGGATAACGCCACCACCTTTACAAGCGCTGGAAGGGAACTGCAAGCGCTTTTCGCCAAAGCCTCACCATTCATGGACAGTGTGACGCCGACTCTAGCAGCCCGAGGTACGGAGTGGTCATTTATTCCACCACGGGCTCCACACTTCGGAGGGCTATGGGAAGCAGCGGTGCGCAGCTTTAAGCACCACTTCCGCCGAGTAGTTGGCGATCTCACCCTCACGTTTGAAGAGCTGTCCACATTGGCTGCAAAGGTCGAGGCCTGCCTCAACTCTCGGCCTCTGTGTCCGTTGAGCGTCAACCCCACTGACGCCGTGGCACTCACTCCGGCTCATTTTTTGATGGGAACTTCTCTGCTGGCCCATCCGGAGCCGTTTAATGAGGAAAGTCAGCCCATCTCCTTCAACAACCGCTGGAGACTGTTGACCAACCTGCGCAACTCCTTCTGGCGGCGATGGCAGAAGGAGGTGCTCCATCAAATGCAACGTCGCAACAAATGGTTGAATGTTTGCCCCAATTTGACAACAGGCGACGTTGTGCTATTGACAGATGAGCTCACCCCACCTACCCAGTGGCGTATTGGACTGATAGTCGAAACACATCCAGGCACAGACGGGCTAGTGAGGACGGTCACTGTCAGAACTGCCAGTTCAACCTTCAAACGACCAGTGGTGAAACTGGTTAAGTTGCCAACCGAGCCAGAACTCTTAACGATTCACAATCAGATCAAAACGCGCTCGCAAGGCAGAGTGAGCAATTAAACACATTGAATTGTATAAAGACCAAGACATTCGGTAGATTTCGCGATAGGCTAGATACTGCGTTTTACTTACATATTTTTTTTGCAGCTTTACATTTTAAANGTGTTGTCCGTAAGCTCGATGCTGGCTCTCGCGAAGCTTGGGAAGCGTCCCAGTCGAACGTGGACGGTTTTTCAACATTTAAGGCGTTAATCAATTTTTTGGAGAAGCGTATTCAAACGCTAGAACAAGCGCATTCTTATGTAGACAAATGTGAGTCTTCAAGCAAGCAATCAAGTAACTCGACACCTCGCAAATCGAATAAAGTTACCGTGAATAACGCGCAAACGGTGGATCAATCTGAACCTAAATCGAGTCCCTTGTGTGACTTATGCAAAGGTCCTCATTGGTTACATCGTTGTAGCCATTTTAATGCAAAGTCGCAGTCTCAGCGTTTGGATTTTTGTAAGGGTTCGAAGCTTTGTCTCAATTGTTTAAGAAAAGGACATAAGGCCTCTAAATGTCCGTCATCTAACCGTTGTTTCAAATGTCAACTCGCGCATCATACGAAATTGCACTCAGAAGACAATTCACAGAACAAAGGCTCAGGCTATCGGATAGGTAATTCGTTCGCTGATAACGGGTCCCAGCCTACCGGTACCTCTGCAAACTCTGACGAATCGTACAGTCATGTCGCATCACACAGTGCGTCGGTTGGAGCCTCAGTGCTTCTTGCTACGGCTAAAATCTTGATATCAAACGCGTTAGGTAAGAAGCTGACTGTTCGGGCCCTGATCGATCCTTGTGCCGAACGATGCTTTATATCGCAACGGGTAGTGCAACAGCTTAAGCTTGATTCGGAAAAGACTTCAATCTCGGTGATAGGCGTCGGTTCCGAAAAGACATCAACTTGCAAGACCATAGCTCACGGTATTTTACAATCAAGTACCGACAAAAGCTTCGGTATGGGTTTTTCCGCGCTTGTGCTAAATGAACTAACTCGTTGTCTGCCCAAAGACAGGGTCGTGTCAGGGAATTGGCCCCATCTTCGTGGTTAAATTCTAGCAGACCCTCAATTTTCGGAACCCACGAAGGTTGATTGCATACTTGGTGCAGACATATACCCTATCCTTATGCTTGAAGGCATGCGTAGAGGACCAATGGGTACTCCGTGTGCTCAGCAGTCTGTCTTCGGCTTGCTGCTTACCGGAGCCATTTCACCCATCAACACTTACAACCAAAAGCCAGTTCGTGCATTTCATTTAACGACTGAGCCCTCGCTTTCACAGCAACTCACGCAGTTCTGGGAGATCGAAGAAATTTCGCGCAAGGCACTTTTGACTCCTGACGAACAGCGTTGTGAACAACACTTTGTCGACACACATTATCGCGAACAGAACGGACGCTTTGTAGTCCGATTGCTTTTCGCAAAGCAACCCAAGTTTTCTGGTTCACGAGATGTCGCGGCTGCATGTTTTGCGTAGATCTGAGAAGCGATTGCAGCGTGATATGCAACTCGCCGAGCGTTATCAAGCCTTCATGCTTGAATACCTGGAGTTAAATCACATGGAGCCCGTTCCTTCTCATCAGGTGCTCAATCCTGGATTTTATTTGCCTCACCATGCGGTGGTGAGACCTGAAAACCCTGCGAAAATACGCGTAGTCTTCAACGCATCGCAGAAATCGCAAAATGGTCTATCACTAAATGATATGCTTTTGTCAGGACCTAAGCTTCAAGCAGACATCTCAATAGTTTTATCTCTTTGGCGTCGATTTAGATTCGCCTTTACTACTGATGTTATTAAGATGTTTCGCAAGATAAAGGTTCATCAGGATGACGCTGACTGGCAACGAATACTTTGGCGAGACAACACTAGCAAGCCAATTCAGGATTACAGATGCGTCACGGTGACGTACGGTACTTCGTCTGCTCCCTTTCTGGCTCTTCGGGTTATGAAGCAAATTGCAACTGACGGTTCACTGGACTAACCGGAAGGTGCTTCAATTCTTCGTCATACACTTTACG